CCTTTAAACCCCAAAATTAAATGACATCATACGATGAGTACACGCAAACTACAGCTGTATAACCAGATCTGTGATTCTGTTTCAAATTCCACTTATTTAATCTCTTGTTTTGTTCACGCAGGCTCCACTCGGAGTCGCATGCAAGAGCAGAAGATGAAGGAAGACGCCGAATCGAGGAAGGAGTGATCTTTAAACCCAACAAGACTGACCTGCACTATTTGTCACATCGTGAACGACACTGTTCACGAGTTTCTCTGTACATTTACTCCTCTTTTAGTTTGTATTTAATGTTAACATCTGGGATGTAGGATTGTAGAAGATTTTCCTTCTTTTGTGTTTGTTTTTATTAAAAAGTGACTTTTTAAGTTTGGCATTTTCAAGAGGAAATAAGTTTTGTTGTAGAAGAGTTCTTGATTGTTTTAACCATAATTTCACCCTCATTGATCTTTTCAGTGTACCCACACACTACGCTGGTTTTCCAAAGTTTATGAAAAAACATTTTTTGATGTTAAATCATGAGTCCGTTAAAGAAAATGTAAATATTTGCTTCAAGTGAAAATCAGCAGTGGATTCTTTTTCTCAGCAGTTTTAACCCTCTAGAGGCTTTGTTTGTGTTAAAAAGAAGAAAAAAAAACTTATTTAAATTTCACTCAGCCATAATGAACGAGTCAAAGAATCAAGAAGCAGGAAGTTTGTTTGTTTGTTTGTTTGTTTGTATGTTTGTTTGTTTGTTTTGGCAATATTTGTGGTTTTTATAGTAGTTTTTGGTTTTTACTTTTGGGTGAAGAAAAAATAAAACAAAAAAACTGTCTAAACTAAGATGTTTTTATCTTAATTTTTCAACACTTGTGGATTTTTTATAGAATTAATCACAATAAAATACACCCAATAAAGCAGCATCAGAGGAATATATATATCATGTAAAAATAAATGTGTTTTTAGTGCAACCTCTTGACTAGGTTCCTGGATATGTAGGAAATATTTATTTAGTAAAGATGGTTTTTCTGCAGTTTTTCTAAATGATCTGTTCTGCTGACACCAGATAGAAAATACTTTATTCTTCGCACTTTTTTTTTTTTTTGCTTTTTTGACCTTTATTTTGTTTTCATGAAAGTGGATTTATATATGTTCATATAAACAAAATACTGAAGAGTTTGTTTTCCATAATCGGGCTTTGCAACTTTTAATATTTAATTCTAAATGAGATGTAACTTATAAAAAACATTGCCTAAGTAATCATTGTAAAAAAGTAGCTTATTAAAGCACAGTACATTCCCCCACTTTGCCTAACTCCATACAATTCTGATTTAAAAACCCTGAAAAAAATATGGTWTTTTCCATCTTTATATTTGCAGCATAGTTACTTTAACAATATACTCTCTTGTTGTAAAAGCTAAATTACATTGTAAAAAAGCTTAATATGTTCAACCATGATGCAATAATTAATTCTGACATTCTATTTAGATTTTCGGCCTCTTAAAACTGCAGTGTTTATTTGTCATAACTGGCCGATYTTCATACATAATACTTGCAATTAGCACAGAAATGTGTATGACTAATTCAAATTAATTAAGCTGAAAATGACTTCAGCCCAAACTCATTAGTTTGTTTGTATGTATGTATGTATGTATGCATGCATGCATGCATGCATGTCATTATTATTATTATTTTTTCTTTTAATTTTATTTTATTTTTTTACCAGGGTGGCCACAGCCACAATAGAAAAATCTTTGACCACCCCAACCGTAGCTTTGCCAGCAAAGATTTAATGAAGCCATTTTTATATTGCTCTCAAACAGGGATTTCTCATGTATTTCAACATGGTAGTCACTGCCTTTGTCATTAAAGAAGAAAATGACCAAGAAAATAGCTCCTCAGCAAATTAAAATGTATAAAAATGTCATCTTCTTGACTACCCGTGTAAATAATTGCTCTGCCACTGTTCCTCAGTATCTCAAAATTATATATAAAAAAACATGCACAAAAGATGTTTCCACATCAAATAAAAAGTGAAATAAAGGCTCTCTTAAGAGAGCAAGAAGTGAAATTAATTAGTGACACACACACCTGCAGCTGCTTGTTTTTCTTYGATGATCTCCAGCTCCTCGGGGAAGAACAGATGATGGCTGCATTAATTGTGCTGTGGCTCTGTTACCAGTGAGGMAATGCAGAAACAGTTTGCATTCAGCCCAGCCGAGCATGAAACACTTTGAACAGGTTACCTTTTAATTGGTCTGAGCCCCCAAGGGGCCTTGGGGTGTGTTATTGACTTCATGTTAATGAATTTATCCAGTTGGGTTCGTCATTACCAAAGTGCTCACTTCTCTTTTTAAAACTGACTTTGCTGCAACATTTTACCTTCATCTCCAAAGTTCAGAATCGCTGTTGAAAGATAAATTTCAGTTCTCTCAAGGACTCAGGGAGTGCATCAACTTTTAGGTCGCTTGTCAAAATGGAAAATCTCACGGTAAGTAAAGTTTTTGTAAATATGTTTYAGGTAAAARATCRATGACAGGTGAGATCTCAAATTATTGTACAACAAATATGCTTATAACATCTTCGTTTTGGTATTAAMCTGGTCTTAATCAAGTTAATACCAAATTAACTGTTTTAGTCTTATTAGTTACGTCTAATGTTTTATGAATACTTTATTTATGGTACTTCCTTTTTTCAAATAGAAAAAAAGACAGTTTGACTTCAATTAAATAAGATTGATTTATATGGCACYGTTTTATTTATTTATTTAAATATTTTTTAACCAGGTAGATCCCACTGAGATTGGCCAGTCTGCTGCACAAAAATCAAACGTTTTACAGTAATACTTAGAGAAAAAAAACAAGACATAATAAGACCAAAATTGTGTAAAGAAATGTAAACTCTTRTACTCTATTAAAGTGTTTTAAGAAAAGACTTGAAAACTACAAAATTTGAACTTGCCTGGTATGAAGGGACATTTAGTTTCAGAATTTCGGAGCTACAACTGAAAGACCTGATCACCTCTGTGGACCAGCCTGGACCTCGGGACAACTAAAGACCTGATCACCTCTGTGGACCAGCCTGGACCTCGGGACAACTAAAGACCTGATTACCTCTGTAGACCAACCTGAACCTGAGGACAACTAAAGACTTGATTACCTCTGTGGACCAGCCTTGACCTGAGGACAACTAAAGACTTGAGTACCTCTGTGGGCCAGACTGAACGAACCTTGGGGCAAGTGAAAGATCTGATTACCTGTGTGGAACAGTCTTCACCTGAGGACAAAAATCTGAGTACCTCTGTGGACCAGCCTTCACCTGAGGACAACTAAAGACTTGAGTACCTCTGTGGGCCAGACTGAACGAACCTTGGGGCAAGTGAAAGATCTGATTACCTGTGTGGAACAGTCTTCACCTGAGGACAACTAAAGACTTGATTACCTCTGTGGAGCAGACTGAACCTGAGGACAACTTAAGACCTGAGTACCTCTGTAGACCAACCTGCACCTTAGTGCACTTTGAGAAAACTTGGAACTAGAGKTTATAGGTCATCAATAAAATGTCAAAATAAATTATTCCAAAATTAACAGGGACCCAATGAATACTAGCAGACTGGGAGGATATGTATTTTTWWAAAAAGACAAGCTGTAAATCCCAAAAAGGCATCATGAAATGATAGAGGTATTTAGATATCGAGCAAAATTTTATAAAACGTGTGAAAATGTTCCTGACACTGCTGTTAACTTTCCGGTTCTGTTTCCTCAGCCGGAACAATGGCGCGAGATAATGAACAAGAAGATGCGCTTCCCTCCGGAGCTCCTCACCGCCATCCAGGAAGGGAAGATCGAGCTGCTTAGCGGGCTGCTGAGGACAGGCGATGGCATCATCCGTCAGCTGGATGAATCTGAGGATCGTCAGTGGAGAGAGGCTCTCAACCTCTCTATCCGCCTGGGCAGTGAGGACGCCATGGACGCTCTCCTGCAGGGGGTCAAGTTTGACTTCAGGCAGATTCACGAGGCCCTGCTAGTCGCTGTGGACACYAACCAGCCCAGAGTGGTGAAGCGTCTGTTGGATCGTTTGGACCAGGAGAAAGGCAACAAGATGGATGTCCGATCCTTCTCCCAGGCGATCTTTGACCGCTCCATTGACAACTCCCAGTTTGCCCCTGGTGTGACCCCTTTGACTCTAGCCTGTCAGAAAGACCTGTATGAGATAGTCTCCATGCTCACCCAGAAAGGCCACGGCATCCCGTGGCCACACAAGATATCCTGTGCCTGTCTGGAGTGTCGCAATGGCCGGCAGTATGACCTGCTCAAGTTCTCTTTGTCTCGCATCAACACCTACCGTGGCATTGCCAGCCGGGCCTATCTGTCCGTCACCTCTGATGAYGCCATGCTCAGCGCTTTTAGTCTCAGCAAAGAGCTCCGCAAGCTGTCACAAAAGGAGCCAGAGTTCAAGGTGAGGAGAAACTCATGTGGTGGGTGAGATCTCTCTCCACTGTTCACGTTGGGTGTCTGACCCCAGCTTTGGTTATTCTYCCCTGAAGCCTCAGTACCTGAGCCTTGAAAACCTCTGTCAAGAGTTTGCTGTGGAATTGTTGGGGATGTGCCGCAACCAGAGTGAGGTTACCACGATCCTGAACAGCTGCGGCGATGACAGTCGTGATTCCTTTGATGAGCAGGCCTTTGAGGAGGGAATACCTCCTTTGTCTCGTTTGAGGCTTGCTGTCAACTACAACCAGAAGCAGGTAACCTGACTCAGGTACAGTACTGATGTAACAATAAAATAACTGAGCGTCAGTTTCACATTTCCTCATTCTGTCTGTTTAGTTTGTGGCACACCCGATCTGCCAGCAGGTTTTGTCATCAATTTGGTGTGGGCACCTGGAAGGTTGGAGAGGCAGCAGGATAGCCTGGAAGCTCTTGGTCTCCGTCGGGATCTTTCTTACCATGCCCTTTCTTTGCCTCGTCTACTGGATAGCACCCAAATCAAAGGTCACATAAAAACTGCTGAATGCAGAGTCTAAAATAAACCCTTGTAGCTTAACTTTTGGTTTTAAATGTTTGATAGGTCTTCTTTTTTCTCTGTAGCCTGGAAAGCTGCTTAAGATTCCCGTCATTAAGTTCCTCCTTCATTCTGCGTCCTACCTGTGGTTTCTCATCACTTTGCTCGGAGAATCGATAACCATGGAGATGTACCGGGAGAAGTTTGCTTCCCGGCAGCAAAACATCCTGCACAGCTCCTTCCACATGGTGTGGGTGGTTGGTAGGTTCTCTCTCTCACCGTTTTTAACTCTCTAGAACTGCTTAAGRAGGACAATGAGAAGATTCATACCAGGCTTTTTCATGTAGGCTTCTTCTGGTATGAGTGCAAAGAGGTGTGGATCGAGGGACTGCGCAGTTACTTCCTAGACTGGTGGAACTGCTTGGACGTGATGGTACTCAGCATGTACTTGGCATCCTTTACGCTGCGATTGGTCATCATGCTCAAAGGCTACTTCCTCTGCCAGGATCAGAGCAGCAATGAGGACTGCRTCTACTTCACTCAGACTGGTGAGACAACGGAATCCAAAATTTTGGAAGTTGTCAGAAGTTAGGCATGCTCAGCTGCTCTGTATTTATTTTATGTGAAAGTGCGTGACCAGTGGCATCAGGAGGACCCACAGTTTATTTCTGAGGTGCTGTTTGCTGTGACCAGCATGCTGAGCTTCACCCGGCTGGCCTATATCCTGCCTGCACACGAATCTCTGGGAACGCTACAGATATCAATAGGGAAGATGATTGATGACATGATGAGGTAACCGCAATGCTATGCATGCATAATATTAAGTCAACCGCTCGAATGGGAATTCAGGGCACATGGCAGCAGAGTAAGAAATTTTTTTTTTCTTTAATAGGTTCATGTTCATACTGATGATAATTGGGACGGCCTTCCTCTGCGGCATCAACAACGTCTACGTTCCTTATGTCATCTCTCCAAATCTTGGCAGGTTCGAGTGATGCTGTTTGAGATCAGTCACTGGTTGCTTTTCAGAGTGGTGATGAGGTGAAACAACACAGTGCTGGTTTTAACCCWATCCCTTTACCTTTAAGCTTTCAGTCCTGCAGAAACAAACTTGTGCTGAGTCTGTCGGGATGATTGTATAAAAACAAAATAAAGATTTGCTTTCATCGATATGTTTTTTATGGGAACCGCCCAGCGACATTGGATTTTTTTATATTAATGCATGGCCACAAGATAGTTATTGCAGTCATTACCAAGCAGAGTTTGTTGACTGTTAACATCAAGTTTGAATTAATTAGGTATTAAGTAATTATTTGTATTATTTGTTGCAGATAAACAGGTGACAACTAGAGTTGTCTGTCCAAGAAAACATCATTTTATTTCAAGCTCAACACTCAAACATTAAACAGGCTCCTCTCTGAACCAGTCTTTGCTGCKATGTTCAGGAACACATTTACCTTGAGTATTCAAAGTCATCTTGTAAATACTAGTACTATGAAAATGAAACATTTTGATTGAACCATACCTTTTTTGATTAATCATACATAAACAAAATAATAATAATAATAATAAAAAGAAGAAAATAATAATAAATAAAAAACCCACAAAAACAGTGTATTCATTTATAATTTACTCCAACAATGTCCATATCTCTCACAAAGAGACATGACTCAAATTATGTTGTGCCCATGAATTWATTTTGGACTTTGTACATTTCTGATAAGCTTCAWATAATAATAATTTAAAAATATATAAAAATAAATGTTCTTTAACAACAGTCTCACTGTGGTCATCTTCCTCTGTGTTGCTGCAGGTTCAATGAGACCTTCAAGTTCTTGTACTGGACCATGTTCGGGGTGGCCAACCAGGACTACGTGGACATGCCTGATTTTGTCTTGGCCGAATTTGTCGGAAGAGTTCTGTAYGGCATCTTCACCCTCGTCATTGTCATCGTCCTCCTCAACATGCTCATTGCTATGATYACCAACTCCTTTCAGAAAATTGAGGTAATTATCGCCCACCGGCATGAAAAATGGGCGACCATGCCTGTGTTTGTTAGCACAAGGATTTTATTTACAATTTTGACATCTTTTTTTTTGTGTCAATCTGTTAGCAAAATATCACTGGACAGATTTGAATGAAACTCAGAAAGTGATATACCATCTGCAACTTTCGGTTTTAACCTTATTGAAGATGGCTGCCAACGATAACTGACTTTAGAAAACACAAAAATTGCCAAAACTTTGTCAGTTTTACTAATGTTGAACCAAACTTTGGCGTGCAAGTCAGAAGCCAATCAGCTTTTCTTCAAGACATACTACTTTCATTCATTGTGTTTTCAGAGGTTGTAAAAGTCACAAAGACATCAGAGCCAATCTTTTGTGAATTACAGGATGATGCGGATGTGGAGTGGAAATTTGCCCGGTCCAAGCTGTACCTCAGTTACTTCAGAGAGGGCCTCACCATGCCCGTGCCTTTCAACATCATTCCTTCTCCCAAAGCTGCATTTTATGTTTTAAGGTAAGCACCAATATTACAGCACCTTTAAACTGAAAACCTTTTTGTTTCTTTAATAAAATTAATTTCAAATATTTTTTAAGGGGTATCTTCAGGCGATTCTGCTGCTGCTGCAACAGGAACTCAGAGCAGAAATATCCCCCTCTAGCCTCTATGGTGAGTGTGATATAAAGCTCAAAATAATATTCAACATTGTTGCTGTTTATGCAGCTGTGTATTATCATTATGAAATGATGTTATTATTAACAACATTATGTTAATAATAATAATAAGTCCAGTGATAAGGGCACCGAGGACAGTCAGCTCCCTTACCGGCAGCAGGTGATCAGAGCTTTGGTGCAGCGCTACATCGAGTCAGCTCGCAGGGAGTTTGAGGAGACCAAGAGGAAAGGTAAGCTTTACTCTGAAAAAACTTTACATGTTGTATTTGAGTGGTCTGGAGAGAAGTGACAAACTTTGACACTTTAAATAGTTTAAGTTGGACAATTTTTTTTGATAAATTAAAAAAATTGTTGAGCAATTAGGTAAAACTTAACAAAGGAAGAAAATATTTTACATACATATTATGTTTAGTTGTGAATTTCACACAGTTTGAGGCTTTTATGTACCTCACTATGTGAGCTTTGTTACTCAGCAACTGAGTGAAGATGTTTTTTTTTCTTTTCAAAGGTTTTGATCTCGCATGATCATAGTTTAGTTGTTCTGCTTGTGACTCTTCATCTAGTAGCAGTCTTGACTGAACAAATGTGTGATATGATAATTTTACAAAAAAAGCTATCTATATTGCATTCAAGTCAACCTTATTTGTATAATACCTTTAAACCAACTTTCACGTAATAATCCAATGAAGTTCATTGTGTCTATACATTTAATAAATCCTAAATTATTTATTTTGTCCCAAGACACAGAATTATTTTACGTTTCTTCAAACATACCTGACACGTTTCGATGTCTTTATCCACCCCCACCAAGAGTGGGGTAATGGTGTTATCAGGTAGTTACTGGAGCATCTAGCAGTCAGTCAAAGGGAGTGAAGGTCATCAAACACAGGGGATGCTTGGTTAATTTATACACAATTTTTCACAAGTGCCTTGTGATGAAACATTTAAATAGTCACTATATAAATGATAAAATTATTAAAAAGATAACTTTTCAGCCTTCTTTTGGTAAATTTCCACACTCACTTAGAAATCCTTTTATAAGTCTTCTGGTAGTTCGTTCCAGACGCAAGGACCATAATGATAAATCAAGACGTTGTTGTATGTTTTAGTTTGTACTTTATGTATTAAAGGATAGCCACTACACCAAAATATCTGCTTGATATCTGTAAAATTAGCAGAACTAGAGCCACTTTTCTGTTTTAAGGTAAAAACTGGCTGTAGCAGCCATTTTGAATGTTTTTGGGTTTGACTTCAAAGGTTTATCACTTGTTTATGTACATACAATGATTATTCTGAAATTTCATYAAAATCTGTTCAGTGATTCACAAGATATTTTGCTAACGGACAAAGTTGACTCCTATAGTTAACAGCAAAGCTTTAGCAGATCTTGCACCATCTGTCAAGCTTAGACTGTGTTCTGACCTTTACTCAATCTTACTAAATATTTCACCTGTCTGCACCAAATTTTATTTTAGTATCTGAAAAACGATCTTAGTAAAATCTATTCAGTGGTTCATCAGATAGTTTGCTAACAGACAGATACACACACACTAACAAACATGTTTAGGATAAAATGCTGTTGGAAAATGTTTAAATCTGGACTGAAAATCTATGAGAAATTTGAACCAAATACTTTCCTAAATATTTCACTTTTGTATAAGAAAACTGTAACTGAATGCAATMGTGTGTTATTGAAGACCAAACAGCTGTGGTGTAATTAATGAYTTGTCTTTCCTTTAGATATCGGAAATCGGATCACTGAGCTGAACAAAGCGGTCTCCAGGATGCAYGGTGAAATGAAGATGATCCAGCAGCTGCTGGTGACTGACGGACACGTTTCGAGCAATGCGCTGACCAACGATGGCGCCTCCGTTCTGGGGAAATACATCATCGGCGCCAAGAACAACTTCAGAGGTTTCAACAGCAGCCACGACGACAAACACGCATCCCTGAAAGTGAGCGTGCACCACGGAGCAGAAAAGGCTGATCACGACGCACAGCAGGAGACAGATAAACTGAGTCAGGTAGATGAACATGAGGAAGAGCTGATGCAGGTGACTGATTGCGAGGTGGTCAATATGGAGGAAGGCCAAGCCAAATCTGTGAGGGATGCAGAGAAAAGAGAGCCRGTAGAAGAACAGCAAAGTGAAAACAGCAACCAAGAGGWGGCGGCAAGAGGGAGAAGTTTTGATGATGTAGAAGGAAAGGTAGAAACCGCAAGGAGTGAAGAGGAGGTCAATGCGGGGTCACGGGTGACAGAAACACACACAGAGACGGAGGCTGAGCCCACAGAGAGCGCCGCAGTCGGCTGCGAAGTGACAGACACCAAGAAACTAATCAACAAGTTCAAAGACATGGAGCTGATGGAGAGACACACGGAAACAGGACGGATGAAGGGGAACAGATATGAGAAGAAAGCCAGGGAGAGAGATGGACAGAGTGGAAACAAGGAAGTGATCCCGTCTCCAACAGGAAGCAGCAGCTCACACGACACGGGCTTCGGGTCACAGGAGGGGGAGGGCACCATCGATGGGGCACCAGTGATTTAGGCTGAACGTTTCAAATCTGGTAGATCGGTTTGATTAGTTAACTTGAAATTATGCATTAGACATAAATAAAAACTACAGATCAGCAATTTAATGTCACAATAGGCTCTAAAGTTAACCAACTGTTGATCCAGTCTTAATATCCTGAGAACTTTGTTAAAATCCAGCAGTTCTGAGAAATTCTGCTAACWGTTGACTTCACTGATCGGTACTTCAGTTTTAAGAAAAAATGTATGAGTACAGCTTTGAGTATGTAAAGTGAATGTATCTAAACTGCAAACATGTCAAATTTTACTTCAGCATCTGTAAATTTGACTGAGTAAAAGCTAATTTTGTGTCTAATGGGAACTGGTTGGAGGCCATCTTGAACGGGGTTAGCCCCAAAACAAAAGGTGCTTTCCTAACAGGCACAAGAAGTTGGCTCCAAATAGCTAACAGGGAAAAAAAAAAAAAAAAAAACTCTTGCACAATCTGGTAACACAGGTGTATTAACACAGAGAGACATGGGCAAAACCAGTAGTGTCCATTTTTACCTTTAATTGAAAGTTAAAATGTTGAGCTTTTACCTCGATTATAATTAATAATATTCAGATGGAAAAATGTGTCTATTTGAATCCAAATTAAGTTTCCATCATATGTAGATTATTCTGGACAGTCATTTTTCATCAAATGCTTAAAACAATTAGGGTACCAAAACATCACATTCTAGCTGTAAAGATTCTCTAACCAGATCATTTGAAATCCTTTTTTTTCATCTGTAAGTGTGGAGGCTCACAGKTTTAGAGTTCACAAATGAATGTTCCTTCAGTGTTTTTTAAATCCTGATCTTCACCTCTTGCTGAAGTGTCAGAGCAGGTCTCAGCTTGTTTAACACATTCTGCCCAGTCTCCCAGAGGWACTGTGCACAAACACATCAACTCATTAATTTATCACCTGCTACATTTTGTTTTCCTGGGAACTTCCAGTAGAGGGAAAAAAATGTTTTTTTTTTCTTTTGCAGCATACTACAAGTGTTTCCACTTTTATTTTGAAGGGCGTCAGCTGCAGCTTAAGAAATGAAGATCAACATTTTTCCCCACAAGAAAATTTATTTTTCTGCCACGTGCTTCCAGTAAAAAAACAAAAAACATCCAAAGAAATACAAAACATTAAGAGCATAAACTGGTTTCTTTCCCCACTCCTGTGTTGTTTTTCTTCATCGGCTGATAAAGTAGCTAACTTTTGCACAATTAACACAAATGCAAGCTTAAAGAACACAAAACTGATACTGAGGTATAATTTATCATTAACACGATGAATCTTCAGAATATTTAGAGATTCTTGATGTCGTGTTGAATTTTAACACATTTAAGACATAAAATTCATTAAAACAACACAAGTTACAAAACTGTGATAACAAATCAAAAGATAAATTCATGAAAACTTGTTAATTCTGTACAAAACGAGTCAAGATGAAGAGTTCTATAAACATTAAATAACAGACTGCAAAGATTTGTTCATTAAAAAAATGTGATATATAAAAGAACAAAGTTTAAAAATTCCTTTACAAAACAAGCACCATGTTGTTATCGTAGAAACTATTTCCTTTAATCGTCACAGGTTAGGAGCCACAGGCCAGGCATTCTTCTCTGTTGGTTAAAGAGCAGACCATGGCTGCCGTGTTGCGCTCCCTGGCCTCCTCTTCCTCACTCTTCACCATCGGGCTCTCCTTCAGCTTCTCCTTGTTCAGAGTGAACTGGATGGGGTTGGCTGCAGGCTTCGTCCGCAGGTAGTACATGCCGGTTTTCAGGCCCTGAAGAAGAAAAGTCAATGATCAAAAAGGAACATAAAACCTGCTGCCGGTCATTTTGGTCAAACGTTGCACAGAATTTTATTTAATTTATTTTTTTATATATTTTTTCTGATGACAGAATTTTATTTTTAGTTTCTGTCTCTAAACACAATATGCGTTGTGWCTCTGAGCTACGACCACATTAAGGTTTTAGCTCAATATCTGTAAAATTGTCKGTTGTATAGCCGTTTTTGTTGTTTCCAAGACCAGTGGACTGTGGTGGCCATCTTACATTGGTCTGATTCTAAAAGTCAATCAACTATAGAAATACAATCAGCGATTACTTTCTGAAAGTTTCATTCAAAYCCATAAAGTGGATCATGAGATATTTTGCTAACAGACAGGCAGAAACATGAACGTTCAGCTGGATCACACTTACCAACTTCCAGCCGTAGAAGTGCATGCTGCTGAGTTTGCCGTAATTGGGCTCGGCGATGTGAATRTTCAGAGACTGGCTCTGGTCGATGTAGGCGCCACGATCTGCTGCCATCTTCAGGACGGTTTTCTGAGAGATTTCCCACACGGTTTTATACAGCTGCTTCAGATCAACGGGGATCTCTTTAATGTCCTGTGGGATGGCACGTCAGAAAATATTTAAAACACTCCCCCATTTAAAAAAAATTTACTAAATGAAGCATTTGATGTGACGGAGGCTGAATATTTGGTACCTGGATGGAGCCGTTCTGAGCAATCAGCTGATTCTTCATCTCCTCGTTCCACAGTCCTCTCTCTGTCAGGTCCTTCAGCAGGTGAGGATTCACTATCTGTAGAACGAGCACAACTTTTTCCTTTAGGATCAAAAAACTTCTTATAAACACCAATTTTAACAAAGTTGGGATGTTTTTCTTAAATGTAAATACATCAGAATGTCATGATTTGCAAATCTCAAACCTATATTTCAGAGAAGTTCTTGTTTGCTGGATTCCAGCTGTTCAACAGTCCTGGGTCACAGTTGCTGGATGGTTGAATAAAACCTAAATATATTTTCTGCCTTGATGGAGCCTTTTGAGATGTGTAAGCTGTCAGAGGCACTAATGCACCCCCATACCATTGGAGAGGCGTTCTTTTCTTTTRTAGTGTAACTTCTTAGTTTAAACATTAAGTAATGTTTCACTGAGAATAGAGATTCTGCCAATCACTGCAGCACAAACAAAACACCACACTCCGGTTCTGACCTGGAACTCTCCTGAGAGCACCCTGCGAGTGTAGATGTTGCTCGTGTACGCCTCGATCGACTCGTTGTTGCCCAGGATCTGAGCCGTGGAGGCCGTGGGCATCGGGGCCAACAGCAGGCTGTTCCTCACACCGTGCCTGAGGACGCGCAGAGAAAAGATGTGAGCTGAAGAGGACACGCTTCGCGTCGAGAAAGACACGGTCACGRAATTAATTCAGGTGGACTTACTTGGCAATTTTCTCCTTCAGTGCCTCCCAGTCCCACAAGTCTGTCGGGGTTTTACCCCACATGTCGTACTGAAGGATCTGGAGAACAGAACACGCTCAGCACACCATCTCTCAGCGTGAACTTGAGACGTGTGGACAGTACTCACTCCCTTGCTGACGGGACAGCCGGCGTAGGTTTCGTAGGCGCCGACCTCCGCTGCCAGTTCACAGCTGGCCTCCAGAGCAGCGTGGTAGATGGTCTCAAAGATCTGAATGTTGAGCAGCTGGGCCTCTGGGCTTTCAAACGGATAACGCATGAGGATAAATGCGTCRGCCAGACCCTGGACACCGATTCCGATTGGCCGGTGGCGCTTGTTCGAYTTTTCAGCCTTTAAAGTAAAAGGGACGGAAGGGACATTTGTTCACAAAAAAGGCTGCAGGGTTGATGGAGAAAATTACTAAAACACAACTCTTACCTCCGGTACTGGGTAGTAATTGATGTCAATAATCTTGTTGAGGTTCTTGACGATAACTTTGGTGACAGATGCAAGCTTTTTGAAGTCAAAGGTCTTTTCTGAGGTGACGTACATGTTGAGTGCAATGGATGCCAGGTTACACACTGCAATCTGAGTCAAAGACAGCAAACTCAGATCCAAACATTACCACAACATGGAACACTAAAAGCCAAATCTTCTGCCTCCTACCTCATCATCACTTGTGTACTCTACGATCTCCGTGCACAGGTTGCTGGATTTGATGGTGCCCAGGTTTTGCTGGTTGCTCTTCCTGTTGCAGGCGTCCTTGTAGAGCATGTAAGGCGTCCCRGTTTCTGTCTGCGACTCGATGATGGCGTACCACAGCTGCTGAGCCTTCACCACCCGCCTGGTCCTGCCCTCCTTCTCATACCTTTAATGTCACCAACAAAGTCACGTGGACAAGTTAGATTTCATAAACGTGTCGTTTTGTTTAAAACTAAATAGTTTGGAAGGGGATCTTTACCGAGTGTAAAGCTCCTCGAACTCCTCCCCCCAGCACTCATCTAAGCCTGGACATTCGTTCGGACACATCAGAGACCAGTCCTACAAGGAAACGGGAGGAATGAGCATCTCTAAACAAGATAAAGCTTAAATGCTCCAAACTGTGAACAACCTGCCCTTCAGTGGTCACCTGATTGCTTTCCACTCTTTTCATAAAGAGGTCTGGGATCCACAAGGCGAAGAACAGATCTCTGGCCCTCTGTTCTTCTTTCCCGGTGTTCTTCTTCAGGTCCAGAAATTCAAACACGTCTGAATGCCACGGCTCCAGGTACATAGCGAACGCCCCGGGCCTCTGAACACAGCGATGTGTTGGATCGAAGCTTTAATAAAATTGGAAAGCAGCCGTTTTGCATCGAGTACATTTTAAATGCATCTCGTCCCCACCTTGTTGCCGCCTTGATCCACATAACGTGCCGTGTTGTTGTACACTCGCAGCATAGGAACCAGTCCATTGGAGGTGCCATTAGTCTGAAAAAACATCCATGGCWTTAATAATGTGAATGCTAGTTCAATATTTATACAATTAGCTTATTCTTAGTCTTTAGCTACTGTTCTGCTACTTTTAGTTAGCTTTTTATTACTTTTAGCTACCACTCTGTTACTTTAACCAACCTTTCATTACTCTTGGTTACAATTCAGCTACTTATAACCAGCCTTTTATTACTTTTAGCTACCATTCTGCTACTTTAACCAACCTTTTTTTACTCAGTTATAATTCAGCTACTTATAGCCAGCTTTTTACTACTTTTAGCCAGCTTTTTACTTTTAGCTACAATCCAGCTACTTTTAGTCAGCCTTTTACTAATTTTAGCAACCATTCTGCTACTTTTAGTTAGAATCCAGCTACTTTTAAWCAGCTTTTACTAATTTTAGCTACCATACTGCTAGTTTTAGCCAGCTTTTTACTACTTTTAGCTAGCTGTTGCTATAGTAAACTACATTTTCATTGTTAAAAAAAACCTCCTTAATATTTGCTCTATTTTCTTAGCATTATAAGCTTTGCTCACCCCAGCAATGTAGCTTCCTGTGGCTCTGATGCAGCTGACTGCTACTCCAATGCCTCCAGCTGATTTGGAGATGAGCGCACACTGCTTCAGTGTGTCATAAATGCCCTCGATGCTGTCATCCTTCATGGACAGCAAAAAACAACTGCAAAAATCCAGACTGATTAGACTGGGGGGGCCAGTACTTCAGATTTTATTCTTGCACATTTTCCTTTAGACCAAATTGTAAAACGGTTCTTTTTTTTTTACCTGGACAGCTGCGGTCTGTTAGTGCCTGCATTGAACAGGGTGGGGGAGGCGTGGGTGAACCACTTCTCTGACAGCAAATTGTAAGTCTCAATAGCTGCATCGATGTCTTTTTTATGAATCCCAACCGATACCCTCATCAGCATGTGCTGGGGTCTCTCAGAAACTACAAAAAATGAAATGAAATAAATATTAAACACATTTAATAAGTAGGAATCTAAAAAAAACAATTTAAAGGCATCTCTGATTAGCTGCATATGTTGACATTACTCTATTCTTCTAAACAATTTTAGTTTTGACACAGAAACATCTAATTCCTTAAAAATTACGTTTATTGCCTTTTTTCACTAAAGTACATCGCCAATTTGTTAATGCATTTTGGAGATGGTGATAGGTTACAATTTAGACTAAAATACATAAAGTCAAGGATAAAAAGCTGTGAAGTGTGAAAAAAAATGTACCTTTGCCATTGATCTTCAATAAATATGACCGCTCAAGAGTCTGTAAGAATAAAAAAACTAAATTAGGCTGACATTCCTGACATCTGCATGAAGGGATAACGAAACAAAAAGCTACCTTAAAGCCGAAGAAGTTGTAAGAAAAGTCTCTGTCGTAAATGATGGCTGAGTTGAGGCGCTGCAGGGAACAGACAATGTGACCTTACAACCTGCTAAACTTTAACTATAATCCCAACACATCATCAGACGTGACTTACAGCTTTGTTTTCCAGAACGATGTCAAGCGTCTCCTTGCAGATCATAGGTGAGTGGCGTTTGTTTAAGGGGTTGACATAGTTGTACAAGTCTTCCATCACATCTTAGTAAGGAGAAAAGAAGGAGAGGTTTATTGTAAGTAAAAACAACATGTTTATGGTTAACAATGAGGCACGTCAGAGGCTCACCACTGAATACTTTCTTGGTCTCTTTATGCAGGTTGGACACAGCGATCCGTGCAGCCAGGATGGCATAGTCCGGATGTTTGGTGGTGAGCGTAGCGGCGGTCTCTGCAGCCAGTGTGTCCAGCTCCACAGTGGAGACCCCACTGTACAGCCCCTGGATCACCTTCATGGTGATCTGGGCCTGATCAAACACAGAGGGAGAGGTGATAAAGTGTTATTTAATAACCTTATGTTTTTTACATTACTTAATTTTTTTCCAATGGTGATTTGAACCTACAGGGTCCACAAAGTCAGCGTTAAGTCCGTAGCAGAGCTTCTGGATGCGAGACGTGATTTTATCAAAACTAACTGCCTCACGGCGCCCATCTGAAAAACAAAACCAGTTATACTTCTTTTAGGTTAATTTGATGAAATCTCTCAAAGGAGTTCGTTGATACGGTGACAAAAATACATGCTGATTTTATAAGTTTGCCCACTTATAAAGGAATAAACATTTTTATGGCAGCTCAATTTTAATGAAGCGCAATAGAATATGAACTATAAATAAAGAGATTTGCAAATCATTGGGGAAAATATATTTGATGCCCTACACCCCACAGATTGAGATGGTTAAGTATATAAAGTCCACCTTTAAATAAAATATATTTTACTCCATCATGAGCTGTCAAAGGACATCAGGAACTAGATCTGAAGATGATTGCTGAGAAGGGTGCAGCTATTGATTTGCAAATCAATGCTTATTTATTTTTTTATTCTGTCTCTCTCCTCTGAAATAAAAGCCTTAAAATAAGGACTGCTTTTTATTTTAAGATAAGCAATTACAAAACCAGCAGGGGGATCAAAGATTTCTATCTTATTTTTTTTATTTTATTATGTATTGTCGGTTTTACTCGTATCATAAATATTGGAATTTTCTGTATTATTTAATATTTGTGCAGGAGGAAACCCTCAGTTCACCTGCTGAACGAGTTCAACTGCGCCAACAAAAGGAACACACCTAATTATTGTTCTGCTGGGCGCCAACTTTTAAAACATTAAATCTGGCTAAAAATTAATTTTACATTTATTACACAATACATTCGTCCATTCATTTGGTTTTCAAGACATTAAAATCACAATAAGAATAATAATGAAAAGTCCAAAAGCTCAGCTGGCTGCCTTTGTTCTGACTTAACCAGGAAATAAACACAACTTCTGTCTTTTTGACATATATAATAAGTATTTTGACATTTATAATGTGTATTATTTTAAGTGCAAGCAAATGCTTTAAATCAATTTTGAGACGTGCAGCACCGAACATCGACCAAACTAGTAATTAAGATCAAAACAATTCAATTTAGCTACAATACCTCGTTTAATCACGTGCATCTTAAAAGCGAAGCAGGTGTGTTCCTCAGACAGGAAGCTTTTCAGCGATATCTTCTCAACTGGAGACTGGAAACAAACGCAAAAACAACACAAAGCAAATAGTGAAGCTGAACTTCTACTGTCTCAAAATTAGCGGCAACAGACCAAATTCAGCTGCACCGTATAGTATCTGCAGCTCAGCCAATCAGAGTAGAGCTCTAGGAACCTGTGAACCAATCACAATCGCACAGACCTATTACAACTTCCGGAATAACTACCGGCTAATAACCAATGAAAAAACTCTCTCTGAAAACTGGCGGGAGTGTTTTTTTTTTTTTTTTTGTCACAGCAGCTGTTCAGCTCCTGTGCAAAAGTTTTAAACCATCATTGTGTTATTTAGCTATTCCCAGTCAGCCTGACTGAAATTCTTATTTTATTCTTATTTAAATAAGTAAKTTTGATCAGGAGTCCTCTTGGCTTTCTGACGATTTATTAAAATATTTTCATGCAACTTTGATTGCGTTTTTATTCTCCACTACCTACACCTGCCATGATTCAAATTATTATTTTATTTATTATTTGAAATGATCTCGTTGGTGCTAGAATACTTTTATGTCAAGCTGTGTGATTTTTTTATTGATTCAGATATTTTTAAAATAATAAATCTTTGTGTTATTAATAAAAAAAAGTGTCTGAAAATCATTTTTAAAGTGGTTCTTTGCCAAGTTGTCTGTCATGCATCTGTTTTGTGTTGACACAACACTGTCCATCCCTTTACTCCGTAGGCCTACCTGTTGTTGGGTTAACAAACAAAACCTATTTTTAAAAGTTCAGATACTGGACTGAAAATGAGTGAAAAAAATCATCCAAAATTTTTCCTTTTCTCTTCCTTTCTTTTTATTCTTTCCTTGTGTTTATTGTTATAGTATGGTTAATGGTACATTATTATGCTGTTTTTATCACGTCTTCATTTTATCATTGATTATGTGTTGCATTGCTGCCTTATTAAAGAGAGCCTAAAGTAATATTTCACAAGACCACTTTAAAAGATAAAGTCTTGCAGTAAAAAACAAAGAAACTGAGGATGACTTCATAATTTAGCACAGTAGGCCTATGTAGTCCTAATTTATAAAACCACAATTTTTAACGGCAACACTGATTATTCAATGCTGTAAGCGAAATAAGGGACAACAAATGTTGACTGTTTATCAAAGCAGCTTCATAAACTATATAAATGACCGTGATCAATAAATCCCCCCAAAAATCAAACCTGCCAAATCATTTTAGTCGACTTTTATTAATTACGTAGACTTTTATTTTGAAGCCTTGTTGAGCAATCAAATACCGGAAGTGACCCTCCTAAGCCTCTCTGCTAATGCTAATGGCCCAGGAAACGATCAAGTAGCACTCCGAAGATGGCAGGAGTGTTTGAGGTGGAGGTTGACGGTGTGGAGCACGACCATGGACTAGACCCTCACAATGAAGCAGACCAGGTGAGAGACATACTTCATTCCGGAAGGGACGAATGAAACAGATAAGAGTGGGTCAAAGTCAGAGTCCGGGTTAGCTGCTGCTAATGGATTTAGCTCACCTTAAAAACACCTACCTACCGGCAAATTTAGCACGAAGTACCGAGGATTAGTGTGCAGAAAAAAATGCATTTGCTATTATTTTTTTAATTGAATTTCAATTACAGTAGTGCATGTGAAAACCCATATAGTTACCGTCATCTATTTTTCCCAGTTTAAATAGCTCGGTTGTTTATCACAAAACTTGATGAGTTAGTACTTCCTCTGCCACGTTGAGCAATGACTAATTTAGTTTATTCATTTTAAGGAAAGCTGATGTGGCTGATGTGGTTCAAAGGTTGTCAGAGGAAGCAATTGTAGCACTTCCTGTAGCTTTTCAGTTTTGTAGTCCATCCTAAATGAACCTAAGATGCTTAAAAGTAAAAGAGGACAGAACTGTCTGTCTCTCATCCTCTCATGTGTAGTAGTGTGCTCTAATCTGATGAGTTGTGCACCACCAATCTTACGTTTTATTTTGAAATAGTCTCATGACTTGTTGGATTTTGTTGATTGTCAAAATGTTAAACTCAATACCCAGCATAAAATATGCAACGTAAACGCATATTTAAAAAAAAAAAGGCCCAAGGAAAATGCCATATTTTATTCATTTGCCTTTGTGGGGGGGAAAAGAAGCTCATTAAACTGGAGAAACTTGCTGTCTTTCTTCTTTCATTCTTTTACTTGATTCAAGGCAGCTAAACAAGCTCAGATACCTGGGAGGAGTAACACCTGCATTTTAAAATGTTATTCTTAAGTACTTGTATTTGAATGAATGTACTTATGTTGTCATAGSTTTTACATGTAATAGTTGGAAAGTTTCCCACTTGGAAAAACAGCCTAATTTTGAAAGTCGTATTTTAGCAGGCGTAAATCCCTTTTTAAAATGTAGTTGTAGTCTCACAATAAATGCATATTTGGGATGTTTTGGCCTAAGAAACATTCCCCAAAAAGTTTTGATCTAAGTTGGATTTATGTTTTACCATACACTATCATTCTCCTTGTTTGTTGTGTGATGTGTAAATACAGTGATGTGTCTTTTCACATCTCAGCATTTTCTTTGTTTTCAACAGCTGTGCAACACTCACTCTTTCTACGCTCTTATTGTGAAGTCCAAACAGTAACAAGTGTTGCTGGTAACCATTTCTTTTTGAAGCTGAATGACTAGCTTTTCTCATAAGAAGCAGGATGTTTTGTATTCAGTTTACGATCGACAAGACGAGCAGAGCTGGTTGAATGTCACTGAATGACTGAGACAAAGAAGTGTCTCTGTGCTGGGTCAGAGCAGCCTCTGCTCTGTGAGAAGCTTGTTAGATGGTCTCTGCCTAGAGATTGAGACCTTTTCAGAATAGCTACATAGCAAAACACCATTTAGCTTTACTGTACTAATTCTGCTGYATTCTTTTGTTATCTTTTTTCTGTAGTTTCCTGGCTTCTTATTATTTGTTTGTCATGGATGCAATTTCTCAGTAGAACGTCATCGTGCAAGTAATCAGCCCTGATTTATCCGATCTCAATTATAGACCAGGGCTGTTTGTCAAAGCAAGACTATAAAGTTTAAATGGATGATTTTGGTCCTAACATTAAAAAAATCATGATTTGGACCTGTTAACAGAGTGAAACACTTGTTTTTTTAGGGATCTTTTAAACTGACTGGTTGTGTCATTTAAAAATACTTTAACTTGAGTCAAAATCACACAACTTTCTAAATAAAACGTGATAAAAATTGATTGTCAGTAAAACTGTCAACAATTCATATTTGCCACTTTGCAATTCTTTTATGTGCGACACATTAACACAATCAGGCGCACACGTGAGCCCAATGGTGGAAGGTGGTGTGTAGCAGCAAACGCTAACCCTACGAACTTGTTTACATGCAAGTTATTTTTATTAATTTAATTTTAATCTATTTCAGTTGTTTTAATTATCAACTAAATGCCACAATTAATCATAAACTTTTGTCAATATTGCCCAGTCCTAATCCTATGAAATTATGCTATCTAGATCCAAAGCAATACATTACACTTGCATATGTAGTACTTTATTTCGAATAAAAGTTAACATTTCACTTTATTTTGTTTATTAGTATTGTTTTTATTCTTTTCATTTTTAGTTTGACGTGTCCAAGCTGTCACCAGAAGAGAAATGGAGGTCAGTGACTGTGCTTTACTTTGACAAACGTTACACAAGATTATATTTCTAATCAAATTGACTACTTTTGCTTTTACACTTCAGTCGTGAAACACTGCAAATGTCTATATATTTTATGGATTTGCTTTTAAAGTTCATTTAGTACAAACAACAGGAGAATATTGTGGTGTAGATTCATAAAAACACACAACTGTATTGTACTTTAATATAAGTCAGTATATAATGCATCTCCTTGCTGTGTAATACTAACGTACATCTTCTTCATCAGAGTGGAGCATGCAAGAATGCACGCCAAACACAAAGGCCATGAGGCCATGCACGCAGAGATGGTACTGATCCTCATTGTCACCCTGGTTGTCGCCCAGCTCATCCTTGTTCAGTGGAAACAAAGACATCCAAAGTCTTACAACGTAAGACACAAAGCACAGAATCTGGGCTGGRATTCAACTTGAACTTGAAATTTTACCACATTGCTTTTTAATTATACTTTTAATAAACTGTGTCAAGTTTGTTGTTGTCTTTGTGTTTGCATAAACAATTTTTTAAACATCATTTAATTCCCATATTTTTGCTCTCTTTTAGCTGGTGACTCTATTCCAGATGTGGATAGTTCCTCTCTACTTTACTACCAAACTTCACTGGTGGCGGTTCCTGACCATATGGTTCATCTTTTCTGTCATCACAGCTTACATCTCCTTCCGTGCCACTCGCAAGCCGCTGRCTTGCACCACTCCGAGGTTAACCCTTTGTTTACACATTTAAAATAAAAATAAATACACTTCCCTTCTGAGCTGAATGTAATATGTTCACAAGTTGGTTCCTCCCATCTATGTGTGAAGGATTTCTTTCTGTAAGTGTGGAGAGAACCTGGGGTTCAACATTTTTAGTCAAGTCAAACATCCTCTTTATTGTTTTGTTTGTAGGCTGGTGTACAAGTGGTTCCTCCTCCTGTACAAGATCAGCTATGCCACAGGAATCGTCGGCTACAGCGTCGTCATGTTTACACTTTTTGGTATTAACCTAATATTCAGGTATGTGTTGCAAACAGAACATCCTTTCACCTTAAAGGGGTCCACGATTAGTTCTAATATTTTAACACGGACGGAGCCATTTTATTTACACGCAAAGCATTCTGGGTAAATGATGACATCAACTAGGTCATCGGTGCGAGGCTGCTAGGGAGCTATATCCACCCTGAAGGTTAATCTTGGACAATATCTGATTCGCGCTAGCCCTCACGCTATATTGCCTTATGTGTATTAGCTCGGCGCTAGTGCGACAAACAAGCTAAACTGAGGTCCTC